TGTTTAAAGATACTATTATTTATATCTAATCCGTGATATCAAATGACACAATGTCATATATGTGGGCCATTATTTATGATAAACTTGTTGATAAGGACTGCTTTCGGTTTGTGGGGGATCAGTTTTTACAAGTTGTTTTGTCTCTTTTGTTTGTTCGGCTGGTATTTTTTAATTTGTTTGAATGCGTATTTGTTTGCGTTTACTGTTATTTTGTTTGTTTGTTTGTTTGTTTTTTGTTGTTGGCTTTTGTCTGTCTTTTTCCTATTTTTACTTCTATGAATGAATGAAGTGTCTGACAGTAACATTTATGGATCGGTTTTATTGAGTCTGTTAACGTCCATTACCACCGGCATCACCAATACCACCCACACCGCCACTACCACCCACACCGCCACTACCACCCACACCGTCACTAACACCAAACACTGTCACTTCACACAGCCACTACCACCCACACCGCCACTACCACCAAACACTGTCATTACACACCGCCACTACCATCCACACCGCCACTACTACCAAACACTGTCACTTCACACGGCCACTACCACCCACACCGCCACTACCACCCACACCGCCACTACCACCACACCGCCACTACCACCAAACACTGTCACTACACCACCAAACACTGTCACTACACACGGCCACTACCACCCACACCGCCACTACCACCAAACACTGTCACTACACACGGCCACTACCACCCACACCGCCACTACCACCAAACACTGTCACTACACACGGCCACTACCAACCACACCGCCACTACCACCAAACACTGTCACAACACACGGCCACTACCACCCACACCGCCACTACCACCAAACACTGTCACTACACACGGCCACTACCACACACATCACCACTACCATGAACACTACCACTATACATTGCTTCTACCACCCACACGACCACTACCGTAGTGGCATCTTCCATAATGAATAAAGATATTTTCTGCTTAAACTTGTGTTACACCAGTTACGCTAGGCCAGTAACCACTGCCTTCACACAAGTTCACCCTTTTGGGGTTTAAACCCACGGCCCTTAGTTTCATTGTAGTTGTCTGTAGTATTAACCCATTTGAATACTCTTCTTGAAAGCGGAGGTAATTCATTACGATGGTTATACCTAAAAAAATTACGCGATTGAATAAGTCACGTGTCTTTACTTTAATATGCTGTCCACTATTTTGATTTAAAGATTTAATAAAGGGATGTTGTAATAATTGCATAGTGCAGTCATTATTTCTGTCAAACATTACTTTGATTAAAAGTTGTCTTCAGATTTTTTATGGCATGAATACTAAGAAAATCGTTTATATTTTTTTATTGTTTTTTTTTTCTGATTACTGTTAATGTTTCTCTGCGCATAGGCATGTCTATATTTTCACGTGTTTTACGTGACTGGGTCTGTCCGGTGCACATGCAAAAGATAGACCACATAACGGAATTTCTTTTGTTCGAAAACAAACAACCGAAAATGTGTGTAAGCCTGTTATTGGTTTTACTAATATATAAGCCGCGCCATGACAAAACCAACAATAATGGGTTTGCGACCAGCATGGATTCAGACCAGCCTGCGCGTCCGCGCAGTCTGATCAGGATCCATGCTGTTCGCTTACAAACCCTATTACAAGTAGTGAAACTGATAGCGAACAGCATGGATCCTGACCAGACTGCGCGGACGCGCAGGCTGGTTTGGATCCATGCTGGTCGCAAACCCATTATGTTGGTTTTGTCGTGACACGGCTCAATATTATATACTTGCCATAATAATTCGGAGAGCGATTGTCAGTATTTTCGAAGTTTAAGTTGGTCATAACTGATCATAAACATGTATATTATTGTGAGCATAAGATTTTCATTTAAAGTTCAAAATGGCTCAGACACAGATAAGCAGGTCATCTGAGCAAAATTTTACTAATAATTTATTTAAAAACATAGAAAATTTCAACCGATGTGTCATATGGCCTAAAGAGAAATACGAAAACGTTTTAGCCTGGAAAGAAAATCGCCACTTTGGACTACTATTACAGTCAAAAGTAAGTATTATGTCTATATTTCTAATAGATTGCTCCATTATTGTAATAATGTATTGTGTTTCTACATCTACATCATACTGTTTAAAGCTACATGCCTTAAGATGAGGGAAAATATTTCAATAAAATCGAACTTAAGACAGATGTACTAAAACTTTTGGAAAGTAAAAAGATTCAAGATTCAAGTAATATTTGACATGTTTTGTCCGATAAATGACTGATTTTTTCAGTATTTAGCACTATATTTCTACTGCGTTACTATCGCACTAAGGGCTAGTTATGCATATTTTGACCACTTTTTTAGTATTTTACAGGGGTTGAAAGTGTTATTGAAAATTATAACTATAGTAAATTGCTTCTTTCTGGTTACTTCACAATATTAAACATTCAGATACATTTTCAAATTTTTCATGAAAATAAGCATGAATCTGGAGGCGTGCTGCTTTAACAATCAATTCTGATTATAACTAGCAGGTATGTTCTATATATAAAAAAAGTATCAAATGATATGTCAGCACGTAAACTACTTTGTATATTTTAAGTCCTGCAATCGCCTGTATGTCCGTCTGTCTGTCTGTTTGTCCGTCTGTCTGTATGTCCGAGCAAACATTTTGGGTTTAGGGGCTATATGACAGTAAAGAGAACAAAAGAACAATAGGTTCATTCCGTGATCAAAGGGTTTATGGGCTAATAGCCCTTAAGAAAACACCGGAAATAACAAAGAAAATAGCCCCTAAACCCAAAACGTTGGAACGTCCGTCTATCTGTGTGTCCGTCTGTCTGTATGTCCGTCTGTCTGTATGTCCGTCTGTCAGTATGTCCGTCTATCTGTTTGTCCGTCTGTCTGTTTATCCGTCTGTCTGTATGTCCGTCTGTCTGTTTGTCCGTCAGTCTGTTTGTCCAAGACAATTTATTGTTTAATATTTCTAGCTAACTAGGAGTTGCCAATGAAGGGTGTACTGACTATATTTTACAACTGTTTTAGTCCTGCAAACGTCCCTTCGTCTGTTCGTATGTAAATGTGTGCGTCCGTCCGAGAAAATTAAATTGTTTAAAAATAATAATAATAATAATAATTATCATTATTATTATTATTATTACTACTATTATTACTATTATTATTATTATTATTATTATTTTAACATGTACACCATCAATTTGGTAACAACAATTACAAGTTTAAAAGAATATAATATCGATTGTAAATTTACTTATGAGAAATAAAATCTCTAAGATAAACACAATAAAATGAAACAAAGACCATGATTAGCATGTTCATATAAAAACTGATAATACGAATTAAGATAAAAGATGCCATTCGAATGAAAATGTTGTCATTTTAATCTAAATTCAAATAAGAAAAATGTCATACTAACAATCACGTCATTTACCCATCGTACATTATGTTAGTTTACGAAAGGGAAATAACCAGTGTTTACAGAATCCTTTGTGGTTTGATAGAGTTGTTTCCCTTGCAAGTATATTGCATTGACCGAAGTGCAAAAGACAAAAGTCATGCCTCAGAAATCAGTATTTTATTTATTCTTTCAAAATGTGATAATGAATTAATCAAAAGCATGTCAAATGTTAAACAACTGAAAAGAAAGTAGCACTGACTGTGCAGTAATGTGAAAATGTAAATGTACTTTGATTTCCATACACAAAATATTAAATGGGCTCCACTGAGGTTTAAAAGCCTAAAAACGTAACATTTGAATTTTCTTACATAAATGAGCTGGGGTATTTAAAACAGAAATATATGCAAAGATAGTTAAAAATATACTTTGAAATAAAATTGAAAAATCATATTTTTATGCTTTTCTTAGCCCAATTTGAGTCAAAAGCGTTTAAACAATTTTCATTTTGGGTCATTTCATTACAATTTGAGAAATCATTCTGGAAAAGCGAAGTGCGCAAATGATCTGAAATTTTACACAAAGATTAGTGGTCAAAACCTTCATCAAATCGTACATTTATCTGGAAAATATATTTTCAGTCCCATCATGCCAAAAACCCTCAGTGGAGTCCCTTTAAAACTCGATAGTTATACCAAATGCACAGGCACCTGTCTGATTCTAATTACCAGATTAGTGAATACAATAAAAATTTCACCACAACATATTTGTTAACAGAAGAGCACATGTCAATGCGTGTGGTCAAGCAATTGATATTCAAATAAAAGGTCAAAGTAGGGATCTATCAATTGTCAAAAGAGCAAAAGAAGCAATGGATAGTTCGCCTATATATGGCAGTTGAGCACTGTTTTAGAAACTGCAAAAAGAAACAATCCCCCCCCCCCCCAAAAAAAAAAAAAAAAGTTTGAAGCGTTTCCTGAGGCAAAACGGGCTTTAAACAACGTGAACTTCGGGGTTAAAATTCGCAACTCCCATGTGAATTGGGCAAAGAGCTCAAACCTTTTTTCGTGAAAATGATTCGCAAAATGATTTACATTTACCGGAATATTCATTCAGCGTCGAATAACTTTTCGGACTAAAAAAATCAGCAAGCGTTTACGTCATGTACTCTTTGTGTCTATGTATTATTGAGAAAGGATAAGCTTACTAATAGTGTTGAAAATAGTTAAACTTGATCAATACAAAACTTGTAAACATGTTATTTTCATGATTTTTTTGCATGCCAAATATATTTAATAATGTGTTTATTGTATACGCATGTTATGTTGTACATGTGTTTAAAGATACTTATACAGTATATTTATATCTAATCCGTGATATCAAATGACACAATGTCCTATATGTGGGCCATTATTTATGATAAACTTGTTGATAGGGACTACTTTCGGTTTGCGGGGGACAAGTTTTTACAAGTTGTTTTTTCTCCTTTGTTTGTTCGGCTGGTATTTTTTAATTTGTTTGAATGTGTATTTGTTTGGGTTTGCTGTTATTTTGTTTGTTGTTGTTTGCTTTTGTCTGTCTTTTTCCTATTTTTACTTCTATGAATGAATGAAGTGTCTGACAGTAACATTTATGGATCGGTTTTATTGAGTCTGTTAACGTCCATTACCACCGGCATCACCAATACCACCCACCACCCGCCACTACCACCCACACCGCCACTACCACCCACACCGTCACTAAAAAACCAAACACTGTCATTTCACACCGCCACTACCACCCACACCGCCACTACCACCCACACCGCCGACTACTACCAAACATTTGTCACACTTCACACGGCCACTTCCACCCACACCGCCACGACCATCCACATCGCCACTTCCACCCATACCGCCACTACCACCAAACACTGTTACTTCACACGGCCACTACCACCCACCACCGCCACTACCACCAAACACTGTCACTTCACACGGCCACTACCACCCACAACGCCACTACCACCCACACCGCCACTACCACCAACACCGCCACTACCACCAAACACTGTCACTTCACACGGCCACTACCACCCACACCGCCACTACCACAGACACTGTCACTACACACGGCCACTACCACCCACACCGCCACTACCACCAAAACACTGTCACTACACACCGCCATATACCACCAAACACTGTCACACACCGGCACTACCACCCACACCCGCCACTACCACAACCCTGTCACACACACGGCCGTTACCACCCACACGGCCATCTACCACCAAACACTGTCACTACACACGGCCACTTACCACTCACATTGCCACTTCCACCAAACACTGTCACTTCACACGGCCACTACCACCAAACACTGTCACTACACACGGCCACTACCACCCACACCGCCACTACCACCCACACCGCCACTACCACCAAACACTGTCACTACACACGGCCACTACCAACCACACCGCCACTACAACCAAACACTGTCACTTCCCAAAGGCACTACCACCCCACACCGCCACTACCACCAAACACTGTTCATTACACACGGCCACTACCACCCACATCACCATTACATCAACCAACTATACATTGCTACTACCACCCATACCGCCACTACCACCCACACCGCCACTACCACCAAACACTGTCACCCTCCAAGGGCACTACCACCCACACCGCCCACTACCACCAAACACTGTCATTACACACGGCCACTACCACCCACATCACCACTACCCATCAACATTACCACTATACCATGCTACTACCCACCCACCACCGCTACTACCACCAAAATGTCACTACAAAACGAAACCCACTACCACCCACACCGCCACTACCACCAAACACTGTCATTACACACGGCCACTACCACCCACATCACCACTACCATCAACACTACCACTATACATTGCTACTACCACCCACACCGCCACTTCCACCCACACCGCCACTACCACCAAACACTGTCACTACACACGGCCACTACCCACCCACACCGCCACTACCACCAAACACTGTCACTACACACCGCCTCTACCACCAAAAACACTGTCACTACACACGGCCATTACCAACCACACCGCCACTACCACCAACACTGTCACAACACACGGCCACTACCACCCCCACACCGGCCACTACCACCAAACTACTGTCACTTACACACGGCCACTACCACACGCACATCACCATACCATGAACACTACCACTATACATTGCTTCTACCACCCACACGGACCACTACGTAGTGGCATCTTCCATAATGAATAAAAGATATTTTTCTGCTTAAACTTGTTTACACCAGTTACGCTAGGCCAGTAACCACTGCCTTCACACAAGTTCCACCCTTTTTGGGCGTTTTTTAAACCCACGGCCCTTAGTTTCATTGATAGTGTCTGTAGTATTAACCCATTTTGATTACTCTTCTTGAAAGCGGATGGTAATTCATTTACGATGGTTATACCTAAAAAAATTACGCGATTGAATAAGTCACGGGGTCTTTAAACGGTTTAATATGCTGTCCACTATTTTGATTTAAAGATTTAATAAGGGATGTTGTAATAATTGCATAGTGCAGTCATTATTTTCTGTCAAACATTACTTTGATTAAAAGTTGTCTTCAGATTTTTATGGCATGAATACTAAGAAAATCGTTTATATTTTTTTATTTTTTTGTTTTTTTTTCTGATTACTTTTAAGTTTTCTTTCTCTGTGCATTAATAAGCATAAGTCTTTCACTTGTTTTTACGTGACAGGAAGAGTCTGTCCGGTGCACATGCAAAAGATAGACCCACATAACGGAATTTCTTTTGTTCGAAAACAAACAACCGAAAATGTGTGTAAGCCTGTTGTTGGTTTAACCAGTAGTGATTAAGAAATATATAGCCCAAAGCCTGCGCGTCCGCCCCATCTGATTCAAAACCCCCAGCTGTTCGCTAAAAAACCCTATTACAATATTGAAATTTTGTAGCGAACAGCATGGATCCTGACCAGACTGCGCGGACGCGCAGGCGGGTTTGGGATCCATGTTTGGTGGGAAAACCCATTATTTTGGGTTTTGTCGTGACACGGTCAATTTAAAAATACTTGCCCTAATAATTCGGAGAGCGATTGTTTAGTATTTTTTGAAGTTTAAGTTGGCATAACTGATCCCTAAAAAATGTATATTTTTGTGAGCATAAGATTTTCATTTAAAAATTCAAAAAGGCTCAGACCCCAGATAAACAGGGGCACTGAGCAAATTTTAAATAAAAATTTAAAATTTAAAAAAATAGAAAAAATCAAAACCCATTTTGTCATATGGGCCTTTAAAAAGGAAAAACGAAAAAGGGTTTTAACCCGGAAAGCTATTGTTAATTGGGGCTACTTTCCCGTTTAAAAGAAATAATTTTTGTCATATTTCAATAGAATGCCCCGTTATTGTAAAATTTTTTTTTTTTGTATTTGACTGTATGCATCTACATCTCCATTTATTTCTGTTTTTAAAGGGTACATCCCCTTAAAATGAGGGAAAAAATTTCATAAATCGAAAATTAAGGGCAGATGTACTAAAAATTTTTGGGAAAATTTAAAAAAATTTTAAGATTCAATAAAAATTTGAAAATGTTTTTTTCCGATAAAAGGGTGATTTTTTTAGTTTTAGCACTATAAAATTTTTACTGCTTTCTACGCATAAGGGCTAGTTATTTCATTTTTTGACCACTTTTTTTGTTTTTACAGGGGTTTAAAGTGTTATTTAAAATTATAACTATAGTAAAAATTTCCCTTTTTTTTGGTTACTTCCCCAATTTTTAAACATTTAGATACATTTCAAAATTTTCATGAAAATTAGCATTTAATCTAATTTAACAATCAAATTTTTGAAATTTCGACTTTGCAGGTATGTTCTATATTTAACACAGTTTTTCATAAAATTGTCAAATAAAAATACTTCGTTTATTTTAAGTCTTGCAATCGCCGTTTTTCCGTCTGTCTGTTGTTTGTCCTATGTCCGTCCCGTCTGTTTTTTCCCTCTGGGCTGTATGTCCGCTGTTTTTATGTCCACTGACTGTATGTCCTCTGTCTGTTAAAGTCCGTCCCGTCTGTATGCGTACAAACCCGAGCTTTCATTATGGGGTTTGGTCTATTTTTTCTAAAAACCCAATTTAAAGTCTTTTATGTATTCATTCCCTTTCTCTTTTAGGGGGATTTTTTGCATTTTGGGGTTAAAAAGAACAAAAGAAATAACAAAAAAAAAACCCCCCTATTCTAGCCCCTGGTTTAAAAACCCTCCTCTGTATTTTTCGTCCGTCTGTCTGTATGTCCGTCTTTCTGTTTGTTTGTATGTCTGTTTGTCCCCTCTGTCTGTTTGTCCGTCTATTTATGTTTTTCCGTTTTGTCTGTCTGTTTTTTCCGTCTTTCTGTATGTCCCTTGTCTGTTTGTCCGTTGTTGGGATTGTCCTTTTTGCTGTGTGTCTGCACTCCAGGAGGGGTTTAATTTTTTGGGGGTTTGAGGGACAAAAAGGGAACTGTTCTCATTCATTTTCCCTAATGCTTTAATGTGGCTATTTCTTTTGTGTGGGGTTAAAAAAAACAAAAGAGAACCCAATAGAGTAGCCACACAATTTCTGTCCTGTGGAGAAAAAATCCTTTCT